AAAAAAAAAAAAAAAAAAAAAAAAAAAATGTTTAATTCAATGATTAATTATCAGTAATTATCACGGTCAGCCTTCATTCGATTGTAAATTCCATTTATTATTCAATGATCAATTTCCTCGATATCGTAAAGTCGCTAATGTCCAACCTTATCTGTAACTCCTGCGACGAAATTACTTGTTCATCTATTTCCAATCTTTTATTTAAATAAAAATACTCCACGAATACCAAGAAGCTATTGTAAGTAACATTTGACAGTCAAAGATCGTAACAATGTGTTTATCAACTCGCGTTTCCAATTTCGCGTTTGATCGCGCGGCAAAAACGCAATTGTGCTTTAAACGGAGATCGATCGGAGAGGAATGAAACTTCACACGTTGACGTTGGAAAATGAGATACCCCGTTTTACAGTGAAATTGTACATACGGACATCTCGTTTAGTATTTTCCGAGATGGTCCGGAGTATGCTTTAATTGAAAAGAAAAATCTGACGCCAATGTGTTAAGACCTAGTCACTTTCATTGAACGTGGCTTTTCCGGGACTGATGGAAAGTTTCGTCGATGACAGTCGACGCATACGCAATGATACCTATACTTAAATAGCAGCAAGGGGTAAAACGAGAGGGCATGAGAAGTGTTCGTGCGGACCAGCGATCGATATCGCCGTGACATTGTGTCTCTCCGCAAAACTCGCGTATCCGCTCTAACATAATCGCGAGATAACCGCGTGGTTCTTGCAACGCGTTCGAGATGCACGTTCAACTTTGACCTCCGTTGTTAAATTTGCGAAAAAGAAAGAAAAAGAAAAGATACAAAGAAAAACTTATTAGTCGGTGCTGTAAATTTTCAGGCACAAATTAAGTATAATTATAAAGGTAAATTTGAAAAGCTGTAAAGTGGTTGAAAACAATATACATGAGCCTCGTTGCAAACGACCTTTCTTTTATTTCTTTTATTTCACATCGGAGTCATAAACTCGGGACGAGACCTGCGTAGTTGCTAATGACGTAGCTGTCAATCACAAGAAATGCACGAATAAATGCACAATAGAGACGATAAGTTTAAGATGCCGCGCAAGGTCGGGTCAGGTATGCGAATTAGGATCGGAACTAAAGCTAGAAATTGCTAGAAAATGAAAAGTTGAAATGGACTTACCCTCTTCAGCGTTCAGGTCTGAAAACTTTATGCCGCCGCTGAAATGGAAAAAGCAGACGAGAGATGAAACAGTTGGTAAATTAAAGTGAGGAAAAAAGAGAAGAGTTCTTTCTTTCTTTTTCCTTTTTCTTTTTTTTTTTTGGAGGAGAGTTCATCGATTTCACTTTTAGCTCGTAAAACTAAACTAATCTATGTGAAGGACGATTATCCGTTCGTTCGTCGGATTTCTCGTCTCGTTAAAAGAGAGTATGTACAGGTGATGGTTTTCCACTTACGGGGGTTGCTTTCTTTTTTAAAAAGTTGTTCACCGGTATGTCAATGTCTCGGCCGAAATAGAATCGCCTGCGACGCATATGTATTCGTCGAGCAATTATGTGTTCCCGCGATACGTACGTAACGTTCTTTCGAATCGATTGATTTTACCGTCAATGAATCATCGTTTGTCACGATCGGAGCATGTGTGCTCCTAGTTTAGTTTATACACCTTTTATCGACTGCAGTTCCGATCGTTGACAAAGGATGTTGAAGTATATACAACCACCGAATTCCTGTGTTTATTCCTCTGTTGCTAATAGAATCGTGATTGTCAAGTCCATTAGTACGGTTATCTATGTTTCAATCAATAATTCTATGACTGGACAGCGAAAGACAATGAAGCAAGTTTGAAACGAAAGCTTGCACATACGACTTAAAGCGATTCTCTTTGCGCGTTGAAAATCTTGTTCGTTTCCATCAATGTTTCCATCCAAGAACGTTGAAGGAACGCGATTTCGCGAGTACTTTGATTCCACGAGATTGAAGGAAACGAACAGGCCAATTGGTTTTCCAAACAGAACGAATCGGCTCTAAATTCGTATCGAAAACTTTTGTTCCTCGATCACACTCTCCGTCCTTTTTTCTGCATCTATAAATTTGTTATCGTGTAATTGCATACCTGAGCAGCACGGTCGCTGTCTCGGGAACACGGAACACCTGAAAAAGAAGACAACCAGCGCTCTATCGAATCCACATTAAAAGGTGATAACCCAAAATGTCGCAACTCAGTTCCACATATCCAATTCCACTTGTTCTTTTCTTTCTTTCCTTCTTTCTCCCTTTCTCACACTAATCATTTAATTCATCCTAATGGATCGAATTGTGAGTAAACGAACGAAGTGTGAGTAAACGATCTCGATAACGTAGAAAATCTTTATATAGTTGACATATATTTAAAAAATAAAAGACTTATGTACGTAAAAATACGTACACTCTAACGATACTTCTGTGCGCAAGTATAATTGAGTTGTATAACTGTGGCAAGTTTAATCAAAATGGTTAAAATTTTTCAAAAATCTTGCAGAGATAGAATCCAAATAAATTTGGTTTCCAGAAGAGACAAGATTAAATATGTTTAATTAAAACTTAACGGAACATGAAACTTGAAGGATTTGGTGTAACAGTTATGATATATTCTAGTTAAATATTTGAATACTTGGTTATACCTGTAGTTATATATTTCTAATTATTCAAAGACTACTGAACTATTTGGGGCATTTTACTCAAACTGAATCATCAGTCAAAGAGATAGGCTCAGGTAGGAAGAAAACTCACGAAATCCTTTTTTTTTTTTTTTTTTTTTTTTTGTTCTCAGGGTTGTCACCTCTTTGTTACATGAAAAGCGAAATGAAAAACAGAGCGAGGCATGCCTACCTTCCAGCCCATATTCTCGAAGAATGTGCACAGTCGTGTTTGTCCGGTCGTTTTGCCGCCGCAAGGTCCTGAAACACAAAAAAGTAAAAAATCTTTAGCCATCTCACTCGTTTTTCCTTTTTTTTTTCTTTTTCTTTTTTTAATCTCTCAGCCAGGAATTCCGATCTCAGCTATTTCTACATCTTGTTTTTTGCGATGCGACGAAATAATTATTCGCGAGAAGGAAGTAAATTGTATCATGTAGACAATTATTGCGACATTAGTTTGCACGATGGAGTGGGGAAGAAAGGATGGATTTAAACCGCGAAGAAAAAGGAAGCGATGCGGATTATTCTTGTTGAACGAAAACAAAATGGGAAGCTTGCAACGTCGTTAACCTTGACTTCCGCAGGTTCGAACAACGTAAACGGAAGTGACGTAGTCACGATAGGTCTATATCGTTTAGCCAAAATGCTTTTAAAACTGACTACTTCACTAAATGAAACTATGGTTGTACTATAGTATCCAAGCAGCAAACTTTCTAATCCGAACATGTACGAATTAGGAGATATTTTGAATTTCGGATCGTTAAAATAAAAAATGATGATTTTTGACTGATATGAATAGCTTCTGAGATATTCGTAGAAGACTGACATAGTCATAAGTCATAAGTATAGCTAATATGACGATTTATTTAAACTTAAGAAGTAGAAAAATATAAAAGGATCTAAAGAATCAACGATTTTAGACAGAAAGATCTATTTACACTAAATAAATAAAAACGACAAAACCAAGTTGCAATATGATTCATATTTTTACTTTTCTAAATCGAATCGCAGATTTAAAAAAAAGTCAAAGTAAAATTTATCTACTTTCTTATCGACTTTTTTTTTACTTTTTGAAAAATGTGTTACATTTTGTTATTTATTGGACGTGTCAGAGATAGAGGCGGAAACGTTCGACGATAAATCGAACGTTAAGATTCGGCTATTTTACGTTTTCTGCACATTTAAACATATTTATTACTGTTGGTTCGAGCAGCGCTGGCAAACGAAACAACCCACAGAGATTAAAAGACGCTTTCCGAGATATGATGTACTCGAGATATATTAATACGCCTTAAATGCATGCGATCGACCGATACTCCGCGTGTCGCTGGCCAGCTGTACACTCATTGACTCGTAATTGGTTCGAATTGTTGCACACTGACACGAACGCGATCTCATCAATATCACGAGGCGTACATAACAATGTTTTACGACTAGTTTGCGGGTCCAAACCAGTTCTCACTGATCATACACTATCGGCAAAACAATTTGTAATAAAATATTGATCCCCGGAGTCACGAGTTTTGAAAATATTGCACCGCGTGAATTTTAAAAATATCGTAACGTACCGAGGTTGTTTATTACGAAGGTAAATATAGAATATTCATGGTCTGTTTATTAACGCTTATTAACATTTAAACGTTATATCGCAGAAATATATCTCCTGTTGAATATCCGGGCAGCTATATAAAATAATTTCAGACAGAAAAGTTGTCAGCGACTTGCATCGAAGATATGTAACCAAATCAAGTGTCATTACAATCAATTCTAAAGATTAATCGTACTTATGTACCGGCGCGAAGATTCGATTCGAGACTATCGAGCCAAATCGAGAGATGGATCACCGATCACTTTGATCTTTTATTTACAGAGGCTAATAATTCTAGAACAGTCGCTCTATTTCTGACATCCAATTCACTTTGTTCAATTGATCTTTGTTTTAAGTGACATAAAAAAGAGAAATAAAGGAAATTTACTGTCGATATATAGCACAGGCCATGATCGTATAGAAAGAAAAAAAATATTTTCATAAATTGAAATTCAATGCTGCATCTATTCGCAGATTGAAACATACGTATAACACATATAAAAAAAACAAATTTTCATGCATCATATATTGACCTACGCTATGTACATAATTCAAGATATGTATGCGTTTTCGACGAATTAAATTTAGATACGTCGGACTATCAACGTTTTTTTAAAATAGTCGCATTTTCATTCGATATAATATTTCGAGGCTTTTTATTTCATTTGCATTGCCTATTTTTAAATCAATTTCAACCCATTAAATTTATATATTGAAACATTCATAACGAGAATAATTTTCGTACAAATGCGTTTATACTGCCGTCCATGCGAGCAGTTCCATGTGAACGACTATTTAAAAAAGTGTAAATAAATTTCGAAGCAAGCAAATTCAATTTGAAATGATGCAATTTTCTACGTGTCTTATAGGAATTTAATCAATATTTTCACACCACTGACAAACTTGCGAAGCGTTGCATGTGAGTGTCACAACGACCGAGAGAAAAAACAGAAACGAGTCACTTCGCGTTCGCTCGCGTGTGATAATGAAAATTCTGGCAGAAATTTTGATAAACAAAAAGCATGGATTTTACAAGGATATTACAAAATTATTGAAACACGTGGTTTCCGTAGACGTGTATAGCTCGTCTACGAAGACATTTTCGTCGAAATAAATATATTATTGGATTGAAAATACATACGGAAGCATCTATTCAATCGAACAAATGTTTTCGAAATGGAATGACGATGCACAGAACACACGACAATGAATTGTTTGCATTTGACTATGAAAATAAAACTAACCTCCAGTGAGTACCACTTTGTACAGGCGTTTCTGCTCCATGTTCTAATGAATGTTTTTAGAACCTTTTTTTTCGCTGATGAAGTCCACGAGGTGTTTCAAGTCAATGTCGATGGAGACAGGTCTTCTGCACGTGAATGGTGTCTGGTTGTAACGAATACTACATGAACACTTCACCGTACATTTCGATATGTTGCCGAGTTAGATACATCGGAGACATAGAAATAAAGTGATAATATCTCGTTGCAGAAAGAAAATGAACTGCCACTCGAAGGATACAGAGCAGACGTCTGCCTCAAAATGAAGCGATCCGCGGGTTTGGTTAATCGGTTATACTATTGCCTCTGTGCTACGCGCATGCGCGACATCTACGAATTTACGAGCGCTCCCTACGAAACTACCCGAACGAACCTCGGGCAGTCGTCAACGAATTGAAAATTATATTAATTGAAAATTTCGAACTTTCTAAAAATATTTTCATTGAAATTATTTTTTTCTCTTTAAAAAAAATTCACTTGATAAAAAAAAAAATCGAGGAAAATTTTTGAAATAGTACTGAATAATTTTTACATGGTCGAAGCCTATTCGTTGACTACACATTCATTTATACAAGATACAATTCTTAACACGTTCGAAGAACGTTAATATATACGTAGAAATCCTTTTTTAAAGGATTTTGCGCATTGTATTTAATTTCGGTAATGTAATAGAAGGAAATGGCGGAAGTAGTTTACGTAGCGTTTCTTTATCTTTCCATTGATTATTATACTGTACAATAGCTATAAATTACAACGACCTATTATTAAGTGTATAACAAAAGGTTTCCACTTGTTTTTGCAACGAAAATTCATTTACAATATCTTTGCGGCCCGTTATTTAAGAAATTAATCACAATTGTACGTCTGTAAAATATATTTTATTTGCGCAGAGAGGGATATTGCGTATTTTTGTTAGTTCGAATACAACCAAAAGATACAAACATTAATTTATATATCTACTTAGTTTAACTCTAATATTTAGAAATATAATCTTACGTATTTGATCTCATCGACATCATAATTTTGAATATTTTTCTTCTTTATGATCTTTTTCGCATCTGTTCACATTATTAATAGAACAATTAAGATATTAAGAAATGTTATCAGTCTATCGATATTCTATGAGCAGACGTAATGATACCTAAGTATATGTCTCGTCGTTGACATTTAGCGATCATTATGAACGCGTGTACACGCATTTAAAGGCACGAAAACAAACGCGCATACTATAAAATACTTTCACTGTTATTATTAATAAGATAAAGGCAACAAGTGGAATTAACATCCAGACCGTCAAATGAGATCTTAATTGCTTCGTTAATGTACCAATTTAGATTTCAACGTAGTCTTTGCACATCTGTCTGAAAACTTCTGAAACCTCATTTGGGATAACGTCGTTTAATCCGGGATTACCCACCTGGGGGTCTAGCGCAGGTACATCCCGGCGACCCGGTTAACCCGGAATTACCTACCTGGATTCTAGTCCCGGCACTTGACCCTCACATGGGTAATCCTGGGTTAATATGAAGTCGTAGAGTACTATAGAGAATAGCACTTACAATTAGAGCAGTTTCAACTACATACAATGTTCATAACGATATAATTGTTACAAAGTATTTCGTTATATTGCTTTTCTAGATACATTTGTGCATTGTCAACCATTTGTTTCACGTGTAATTACAACATTTACAATTTTCAATCAAAGAAGAGTATTCTTTTTACACAAACTTTTTGATCATAGAATTCATAAGCATCTTCAGTACATTAATTATTTTAGATATAATATAAAGGGTGTGTGAAGAGAAATAAACAGGATTAAGAGTATCAGCTTGACTGTATTCAATTTCCTATTTACAATCTATCTTTGTTAATATGTACGATCGTCTATGACAATCGTCTTCTTAAATTTAGATAAATAGCACCGAGAATTGAACAATATGAGAAGAGAAACAACCTTTGTGTCTACTTAAGTATAACTCGCGTGATTTTTCATATGTCGATACAATTCATTTGTATGGAACGTCAATAAAAAATTTTTTTACTGTAATGCAATTATTGACGTGTCGCATACAAACCTGAATGCATTTAGCTTATCTAATTTTAAGGCAAGAGTTCCTTTTATACAAATTCACGCGCAATTTATCATTTTCTTTACCATCGTTTGTTCCCCTAGTCCTCTTTCGATAATCATGCCTATTAATAATAATTGGATGCATTCTGCATTGCGTACTTAAAGTAACTTTTAAGCTATTTTGTACTCCGAAATTGGTACGCAAATACATCGTCTGTTTGATATGAAGTTCTACTTCAGAGAAACTGCAAATGCAGAGGAAGGCAACATACTATATCATATTGTTTTGTGCCAGAAGAGAAGCGATCAGAGTTTTCCTTTTTCTATTGAAAGTGAAGAAGAATTCCTATAAAAGATCATTTCAATTTCTTAACGAATTTTCTCGTTTTTCTATTTTAAATATTCGATAACATTCGTTCTTTAGCATTTTTTTGAAACTATTCAGATACTTCTTTTCTATGCAGACTTCATAGTTTAGATATAACTTAAATCAATACATAAACGTGAATTAATATAATGAGAATTTTGAGAATAGATTTTGAATTTAACTACGATTCATAATGTTGAATTTAGCTTGCAATATCACTAAAATATTACTAAAAAAGTATAAGTTATATTTTCATTACTGGTTTCTGTTAATCCGTTATTCATATCCGCAGGCCAGCTTATATTTATTAAAAAAATAATAATCTGTAATATGATATAGATAATAAATAGATATTGTGTAATTAATATTCTTATCAATAATATCATCATAAAAAGGCTTTCGTTTGCAATGGAGCACTTTCTGCTATTCAATTTCCCTGAATAGAAGTATTGAATAAAATTATTTAGATTACTTCGTATAAAAATTAGATTTAGGAATAGTTCCTTTCATGAACTGAATAAAACTGTATTATCTGAAGATGTAAACTTATATTGCCTAAAAATTTGTGTATCATTTGTACTGTTTATCTGTATCTGAACGTATAAAATTTTCCTCTAACGGTTGAAGACTACATTAATCCATACAATTTATTTTCGCAAAACAATGATTATTTACTATAATCAGAAGAATTTTATTTAACTAAGTAATTTTATTTTAACCAAGTTCAATAGATAACTTCGATTATCCGAATTAGTTTTGTTTATTTTTGTTTTCCCAATCTTTCTGCTAAATGCATAGCTTTTTCAAACTATACATTAATACTATTACTTTCTCTGAGATATTTATCTAGATAATAGATTTTCGGATAATCAAGATCTAGCAATATATGAAAAATAACGAGTATATTAATATACGACATAAATTTACTCTTCGACATATTGAACTGAACAACTGTTGTAATTAAAGTAAAACATTTTTTCGATGTCTTTTTTCACATATATTTAATACTTAATTTTTCTCTTTTCACTTAAAGATATATTATGTTGCAGTGTGCAGCTAATTTCTTCTATTAAAGAATACATTACTGCTTATTTATATTTAAATGTATGTACAATGATGTAGTGAATTTTAATGAAGGATATTGCCGTGCTAACAAAGAAAAAAACAGTATAGCCTTCTAAGAAGGTATATGTATAGTTTATGATGAAAATTTACGGTATTATACGCATTCTTGTTGCGACATTATATAACAACTAAATTAATAAGCATATTTGCCAACAACTGTATATAATGTACGGTATGTAATCCGATTCTTTATTTATTATGAGAATCTACTTTATTAAAAATAAAAAATGTAAATTAAATAATTCAAATTTCGATAAAGAAGTTATAATATAAAAGGATTTTACGTTTCTTTCTACAAGTAAAATTTTATATAAAAAAAAACTTTATATGAATTGTTTGAGTCTACAATTTTAGATCACTCGCAGACGTAAACGAATTACAATAAAAGAAAAAAATGGAAAGATTTTAAAAATATTATGTATTTTGCATTATATTGACAAGACTCTGGCTACAATTTCTATTTGCTAACTAAACAAAAAAAAGAAAAAAATGTATATAAACGCTTCTTTATCGAAATTAAATTTAACTTTAGTATACTTATTTGAAATCTTTTTTTGACATTAGTGTTCATTTGTAAATATATGTTTATATGAATTTTCTTCCTGTTTTTAATACATATATTTTATGTGTAAAATTTCATTCAGTATGTAAAATATTGCACGATATAAGTAAATTCGAAGAAAGTGATCCATTGATAATATTTGTCATATTAATTGCCCAACACACTACGTACCTCTTTTATAAAAATATTATAAATAAATTATGACAATAATGTTCAATAATTACAATATTCATGCAATAAGTAACTGGTAACAATGGTCGGAGTGGTAACGCTTTGAATGAGTAGCAAATATCAAAAAAGTTTCTTAAATATTATGCATCATACCAATCAATTCTTTGCACAAATTTAAGAGGTATACCCATGTGAAGTAATTCATCTTGTGACTTGTGCCTCAAGTCTGGACAGTAATGAATTAATGCTTGCCAACATATTTCTGATAATTTAGGAATTGTCAACCAAACAGAATGAACTGCATCTGTCCTTACAACCTGAAATTTATTAAAAACATTTAGAAAACTGCACGCATTAAAGTAAAGAACTAAAAAAATTAGTTATAACAACCTTATTATTTTCTTTAACGATACCACCAAATGTATACATGCGTCCTTCCGGAGTAAGAGCTGCAGAATGAAAATATACAGGACAGGGAAGTATACATTTTCTTAAACATGTCCACTGTAGCAGATTTAAATCTAATCTCCAAACATCTGAGAAGACATGATCTCCATTATATCCTCCTGAGATTACAACTGATGTTACGCCTGTTTTCTCATCTGTATACTGCACCGATCCATGACATCGTCTAGGTTCTGGTACTGTATTATCATCATTATCACTATATGTGTTTAATATTATCCATTTATTCATTTCTAGATCAAAGGCAGGAATTTCCTAAACACAATTTGCATTTAAAAGAATTTAATTGAAATTTAGATTTTATGATTGGAAGAGAGAGATTGTATTAAAATATACATACTGAGAAACCAAATGCTTCTGTAGCTGTTCCACCTCCCAAAACATATATAAGTTTCCCATCAAAAGCTAATTCATGTCTATATCGTCCCGTAGGTTCACTCTGATCTCTTCCAGAACATATATAAACAGTTTCCCAAACACCAGTCCTAAGATCAAATCTATGAATATCACAAGTATATTCATATCCTGTAGTACCACCAACAGTATATAAATATGACCCATGACATATTAAAGCTTGTCCATATTGAGGTTCTGGTAGATCTCCCTTTGCAGGAACTATATACATTCTACCATCATTAACATTGCACACATAAAGATGATTGCTACAACTATGTCCAAATGGTACACCAGTGCCACCATAAACCATCAGAACATTGCCTCTTAAAATCACTGCATTAGATGCTAATTCATTGGGCATGTTATCCTGACCTGGTAAGCGTTTCCATTGTTGTGTAACAAGATTAAATTTCCAAACTTCTTTGAAAAGTGGTTTACTAGAGATCCACGTCTGATCATTTTGCATATCAGGATCAGTATCAGAGATACAAGGATTGAATCCACCATAAGAATATAAATTCTTATGATCACAGACTATTCTATGTCCACTTCTAGCTTTTGGACGTTCTACACTCTGTGCTTCATGCTTCATGAACACAAACGGTTTGAATGTATACATGTTTGTCAATTAATTGACAAATAGATCGTTAGTTTCCAGAAAGGTAGCAATATTTTCTATTAGAAGTTTTATACAGGATCCAAAAAAAAGATGTTTAAAAAAAACCATGTATAATACTTATACATATTGTTTCCTTCTTCAACTAAACAGATTACTTATCACGTTGTGGCTTGTATGTTTAAAATAAACGTTGTGCTATTTTGAATGAACATGTGAATATTATTTCGGAGTGGATAAGAAATTTCTAACACAGACATTTTGCACGAACTTTGCAATACATCTGGTGTACTTTCCTCACATCAGTGAACATGGCGTAACGCAATAAAATTTTCCACTAGTTTTTTCGTTGATTATATATTTAACGGGTATTCCAATATTCTATCGTGATCCAATTTCCCCGTTTTACTTCTGATTCACTTTTTTTCCAATTATGCACACACAGCTGTAAACTTATGCTTCGTTTAAAACAGCAAACTTCTTCTTTTACGCCTATGCAGTAATGTAACTGCGATTGCGCGGCGTTGATCAGCTGACTGCTTATGTTCAATCGTATTCACTAACAGTATATTGTGTAAATTATTCCCATTTTATGCAAATAGTGAAATATCATATAAAATTTAATTGCATATTCTATAAGCCTTATTTGGCATATAAACTATTTATCAAAATATCAAATAAATAGTTTATGTATTGAGTTCTATAACTATCCTTATATAATGTTATAATAATGTTATAATATTTCCTACAAATGTTATAGTTCATGGTATTTTTATCATTTTATTTACAACAGAAGAGTTTGTTTTATACTTTATGCAAATATTATCTGGTAAATCAAAAAGAAGTGATATCATATTTTCAATTTTAAATTCACGTCGCCCAAATTGTATAGCAAACTTTTATGCCATATATATGTGTAATTTATCATTGACTAACGACAAACTAGATAAAATTTTATGTACAGACGAGGTATAGGAAAGATGTTCAATGTATTTTCATATTATCATGTATTACATACTTGAAGGAAGGACTCTACTATTTTCGTTTCACCTTGCTGTACCAATATAGGCAAGTTTTGCACTCTTAGCATAAACGAAACACTGACGAGGTATACTTTGAGCCTTTAACTTTCTTTTTATACCTTTTAATCCATATAAAATAAAGACATAAATATTTTTTAAATTAATTAGTATCATTAATTTACCGACAGATAGCGCCATCATATCTAAACAGGAAATCCTTGCGCTAAATGTGAAAAAAATTAATTTATGGGATTGGATTGTGAACTTTTGTAATTGAATCCTTTTAATAACATCCTCAGCTTATTATACTTCCTATGCCACATTTTACAGTAAAATCTAGAAATAAGTTTTTTTTAAATTAATTAGTACCGGTGATTTACTAGTGCACATATATAGTGCTACCATGTTCAAAATGAGATTAATTGCACTAATTGCGAGAAGAAACTAATCAAGAAGAATAATTTGCTATCTTTTAGAGTTGAATATTAGAAACAGAGCCATCTGAGACTGCTCTAAATTCCCTATCACAAAAGAAGCATCAATAACTAAACTGCAAAAACAAGGATGGATAGCATTACAATTTGTAATTGTCGCAAAATATCGCTCTCCTTGTCTACCGCTCAGATATGTCTGTCCTTGTCGCACGCTAGTGCTCTCCTTGTCTAATGACGCTAGACAAGGAAAGCAATAGTGTGCGACAAGGACATCCTTCGATCTATTGAAAAAAAATTCAACTTTTTACACACACGTTCTTCTAGGACAAAACACACATAGAAAGAAAGCGGGGAGCCTAATTTTAAGGAGTCATATAAAAAAGTTCGCAAATTATTCCTCTTAATTAGGTTTTTCTCGTAATTAGTGCGAAATGTCACAAAATGGACATGATGGCTCCATCTAGCGGTAGTTTGGCGGTACCAATTAATTATAAAAGTAGAATATTTTGTTTTTAGTAGCACCGAGTTGCCAATAGATGGCGCCACCATTTCTTCTAAACATTGACAGGTGACAGTTTATCCACAAATTACGAGAAGAAATTAATTAAGAGGAATCATTTGTGAACTGTTATGGTTGCGTCTTCGATTTTAGAAACCCTAAGCTTGCGTTTTATGTTTTGTTTAAGTATAGTTTACGTATATAAAGAATGTTTCAATTTCGTTTACGTTAGTAGTAGTGCCAGTAGTGAGTGCATAATTTCACGCAAATTATAGTGAATATTACATTCAGATTTATTTGCGAACGTAACTGATAGCATTATCTTTCAGATATATGCTCGTGGAGTGGTAATTAGTAACGTGAAAAATTAAAATTAATTATTTCCCTTATATGGTTATAGAGCGTTTAGTTCCACCGGTTTGCGACAACACGGCGCTAGTGTTTCTTACCCCGTAAAACAGAGAATTTTCATTTGCGAAATTCCTAATTCAAATTCAAATTCATTTGCGAAAAAACCTAATTTAGCGAAATGATTGGTGAACTTTTGTTATTGTATTACCCTTAGCTTTCTTTTCATACCCCATTTCTTAATTATAAAAATGCAGAAACAAGTATTTTTATAATCAATTGGTACCATCGAACTACCGCTAGATGGCGCCACCATGTCCATTTTGTGACATTTCGCACTAATTACGAGAAAAACCTAATTAAGAGGAATAATTTGCAAACTTTTTTATATGACTCCGAAAAATTAGGCTCCCCGCTTTCTTTCTATGTGTATTTTGTCCTAGAGAAACGTGTGTGTAAAAAGTTGAATTTTTTTTTCAATAGATCGAAGGATGTCCTTGTCGCACACTATTGCTTTCCTTGTCTAGCGTCATTAGACAAGGAGAGCACTAGCGTGCGACAAGGACAGACATATAGGCGCGATAGACAAGGAGAGCGATATCGTGGGACAAGGACAGACACATCTGTGCGTTAGACAAGGAGAGCCGCAGCATGCGATAAGGACAGACATATTCGCGCGATAGACAAAGAGGGCAAGCAGCGTATGATAAAGACAACAATATAAATTAGTTTCGGCACCTATCCTAAGGGTGATCCACACGGTGCGTGCTTAATTTATCTTTTTTACATTCGTTCTTGTAATGGAATAAACCTATATTTTAATGAACAAATTTATGTATATTGTCAATATTTTACAAAATCGTCTGAAAAAATCTTTGGAATTATTATAAAGACTAAATAGAATTTTATTAAATTCATATTGGTTAAATTCATGCTAGTGAATAAATTTTGTCTTGTTAAAATCTGTCCGTTATTAAAGTTTTGATTTTCTAAACAAATTACAAAAGTTTTTGATTAATAACAAATGAATGTTTAGTTTTTAAATAATAAATTATGTGATTGTTATCTGTTCCACTGAAAATAAATTATATATTCAATTTCCTATTTGTTGAAATCAACTTAAGTTTAAATTAAAATATTCAAGTTTAAATATACAAATTTAGATTGTTTTGAAGTTTCATAATTTTTTAAATAAAGAATAAAATATAAATTCATGAAATGAAATGATTAATTTCATTTATTTCGTTTACAAGGTTTCATTTTTTAAGAAAGTTTTCAAACGTCGGTTTGTTTCATCTTCTGCTATATCTTGTCGTATCTAAAAAATTCATATAATAATTTATGAATATAATTCTTATTATAGATGAGATTTTGTTATAGAAGAGGAATATTTAAACAACCTTTGCGAGCAAAGGACCAGTTAATTTATCTGGAACTACGATGTTATCCTCTATTTTTTCTTCATCTGTGATATTTGTATTTGAAAATGTCGCGCCTCGGGTCAGAACTTTGATACTATCACGCGAAAGAACTGGAGCAATTAGTGCAGCAAGTGGTACGTTTTCATCAATTAAACCTAGGTAAAATGCCGAGAAATAAATTACAGATATCGCGAATTTTAAAATACTAATTTAAACAGGATAAGACCTTGATTATTAATTTTCTTGGTCTTAAGAGAGGCACACATTTGTCCTACTAAGATTCTCTGAGTGTTGGTCATTCTTTGCAATATTACATGATTTGCGTCTAAATGACCGAGATCCCGGGCAGTGTTCCAAGACTGCAACCACATGGAATAGGGAAAATATTCGTTATCAGATCTCTCCCTTTTGAATATTTCAGAGTTCGAGATGCCGTTGCAATCATTTTTTCTCTGTTTGCCCTTTTTTCACGATGGCCTTACTTTGGAATTCGAAGTACGTTTGGCGAGAACATTTCCTGAAATTCTCAGTTGGTCGGCTGCTTTTATCTTCGAGGTTTTCCTGAGGCTGTTTCCACACTTTGTCACCGAGAATTGCATAACATTATCTTCTTTCGACTTGTTGCGTGCGGACATACTATTGCTACAGCCTTTATTCTCACTCCAGCGAGAATAATTTTTCAAGTTCGCTATTTTTATACTTTTTTTCTTTTCAACTTTTCCCCTATTTGGATTCGAAGATCTCGCACTGGTATTTCTATTCTGTTCAAGTTTCTTGTTATCGAGAAAAATGTTATTTCGTATCTCGGCAATCAGAGCATCCAGAGATGGAAGTGACGGCATTTCCAGAGTCAACGCGATTATTTCCTTTTCTAGAATTCCTTCGAATCGAAGATCTATCTCATCCATCATTGTTGCCAGTGAAACTACGAAACTTTCCGGGGATGAGACCAACGATTGACCCAATAGTGATTGTATAAAACTTTGTATTTCCGGACGCAATAGCATCTTATTTATCTCTTCTGTATCTCTTGCAGTGTCGATTATTTTTTTTGATTTTTCAGGATTCACGCGTTCAAGAACTTCAAATACAGTTTGCACTAATGCTTGGAGCTGATAATTCACAAGAATCGGTACAATTTGATATTCTTTGTTTCTAAGCTCAATATATTTAATTGGTGCGTTTAAATAAATACGTTTTCTACATTTTGTCATCATCTCTGGATACAATGTGGCTGAAAGCTGAGAATTAATGGATTGTCGACTGTCAAACATGCTATAGAAAGGAGACTTGATGCTGGAAGTTTTCGAAGGTATTTCTTTCATCGCTCTAATGCTGGATTTTATAGTAATAAGATCTTTAGGTATAGTATCCTGATTTTTTCTTGGTTTTGACTTTAACATAGTAATTCCCTGGTCAAATTTGAACAAGGATCCAAACGTGGACCTTCTCGAAGGACTATGTGATTTCGAAATCCAATTTCTAGTCGATAAGTTCGTAGTTGTTTTACTTAAAGTATCGTCGTCGTCGTCGAGACGAAAAGACAAATTGTTCTCATTAAATTTGTTCAATTCCATATTAGAGCCAGCATATCTTCTTTTAGCTACACCTTCGGCAAGGGCTTGTTTAATTCGCAGTTCGTGAGATGCTCCAAGTAAGGAGTAGACATGAGGAGAAATTGCGGGCATTTTATCGATGCCATGCAACATTATTCTCTGCGCGTTTTTGGCATTAGACGATACAGCTTTTTCAAAATCTGCGTTTTTTTTCATATATTGTTTATACTTTTCTTCGAATTCGTACATCACCTGATCATCTAAAATCTTCTTCCGTGGATCTTCGTGGAGTTTTGTGTTTAATGAAATTACTTGAGTATCCACCACGTAACACGGTATGACGTTGTTCCACGCGCCAGAAAAATGTTTGTTCTTAGCTTCAAACATTCATAAGTAAATATAGATAAAATTTTAAAATATTCGATCTTAGTTTCAAAAAGATAAAAATATCTAATATATATAAGTTATAGAATTATCAAGTAAGCGTTGTTTAATTTTATTTACAGAGAATTGTACCTTTCTCCAATAAGGACGAAATCGGTTTGATACTGGAGCCGTCATTGTCTTTCCATTTCGTACTGTGAGCAGTCAGCAGGTGGAGACAAAGAACTTTATCAGGATCTACTTCGCCCTTAGTGAATACTATTGAGCGCACAAACTCGTAGGAATCTTTCGGCGCCTGTTCCTGCTCGATTGTCTGACCACTTTTTTTTATGGCGCCCGTGCAATGGTAGCAAAAGCCAGGATTGTGAGTTTCGTACATGCGCACATTAATAGCCTACGCGTCAATTACTGTGCCCGCAATTAGATTGAAACGATGAATCGCGTTTCTGCTAATTGTGCGTGCAGAAATACACGGTGTTAATCTTTAGTCTAGAGTAATCTAATCTATAGTCAAATCGTGAAACGTTACGATCGGAACTCTGCGAACTAATACTCTTTCAATGTTATATAGACTCTATATAACCATATGTAACTCTTCGAATATTCTTGTGGAAACTTATTTTGAATATACAATATTATATGTGCTATACAAAATTATTACGGCGATGAAATTTAAAATAAATCTGAAAATATATATATAGAAGTTATAAAGTATTTATTATAAATATATACTTCACATAAACCATTAAATTATTTAAACAGTTATCAATTATATCAATAAATCTCAATATTTCACGGTGCTAAATTATTAATTATCTACGTTTAAGGCAACTATTCATATAGTCTTTTTACCAAGTGTATATTTGTAACGAACGCTTTTTAGCTTGTATATTATATACATATGTACATTTTCAGATTGGTTTCAAATTTTAAGAGTATAATGGTGATAATTGTATCTTATTACAGAGCTAATGAAATCTTAAGCATCTACATATGTTTACAAAAAGTGTTCGAATAGTTTCATGAGAGAGTATTACATAAAATCATTCAAAAAAACGAAAATGAAACCGTGTTGATGAACGTTTTTATGTGCTGTTTCTAAGAGAGCTTACGTTTGATCCAAAGGACGGCTGCCATGCTTCCAGATTCTTGTGACGCGATCGAAATCGGTGCCTCGCAGTCTCTATCATCCTCAAGTCTGACCTCTCCACCTTCTCGAGTTTCACAAGTTCTTGCGCCAGCCTTTGACGGCTAATCTCATTTTGCTTAGCAAGCTTGTTTTGCAGCATTGTGTTGGATTTTATGGTCGTCGCACTTATGATTCTACGTTTCGAGAAATTTTGTACGTCAGACAAATTGATAGTAGAGATGAAAGAGAAAAAAGTCAGAGGTAAAATAGTTCTGCTTTTCTTTCGTTTTCCTTGATTCTCTAGAAATCTGAATATAAATGCGCTTCACTTCATATTGGATAATATTTCTATTTACTCGTTCTTGCGATTTCCTCTGACTTTTGACTAATTAAGCTTGAAATTCTAATAAGATTAATCGAGATAAGGATGTTTTTTATTTTTATATTTCATTTTGAAAATTGTTTAAATAATCAAGTATCTGACACTTTTCTTAGATCTGAAATCTTTGTTACTATGTGTGATCTTGTTTTAGATTGAATTCATGGCATGCTATAACTTATACGTTTAGAGAGACGATAGCCTACTGAAAAGCCTAAACATTTAGTTAATTGTAAATCAGCCTGTTATGTAACGTATTTGAATACTTGGCACAAAAACGAACTTTCTTATAGGCTTTTATTATTTATTTATAGGCCAAGGAATTTATTTACCACGAATAAGACTATATTGTAACGGAGACTATATATTAAGCGTAAACATGCCAATTCTAAACGATTACTTTTCTTTGATTTCTTGTCAACGATAATCGTATTCTCTGTTGAGTATTCAGTCTTTAATACCATCGTGTATTTATGTATGTATGTATGTACGTCATGATAGCAATGGCTTTCATGCATTTGAAAACTATTCTTTAGTCCTGCATAAGGTATGATTTATGTACGTAGATCAATTCCTATAGATAATTCCTACAGATCATCGGCGATATCGATTTGTCCTCGCGTGTATTGATCGACACGCTTCATGAATACTACAGAATTGAGTTTCGTAATTGATCTGCGCACAATCAGTCGTTGCATCGACTTTCAAAAGTTGCTGGCTTTCGAAAATTTCACTATTTTTATCTAGATAGACGGTAGGCTAATTAAGAGAAAATATGTCACGTATTTTGTTTGGAATTTGAAATTTCATTAAAATAAAATTATTCTTTAATTACATTTGTATGTAAGTTGTATTGAAATAACGAATTACTAATGTTTATGTACTTGTGAGATGTTTAAATTGTTTATATTTGAAGATCAGAGAAAAAGAAAGCGATAAATATATTTTTATTGAGTTTCTGATTGTAATGTCACTTTATGATTAAGCAGGAGAATAAAACAATTTGTTAGGTTCAAAGAGCAGTTTTTTTTAAAGATAGTTTATAACAAAGACAAATATAGTGTGGATTTTAATTTATCAAGGCAATTATTTCCGTAATTATTCATTATTCAAGAAAATGATAATTTAATCAATTTAAGATAAATATTGTTCTCATCTTTTCTTGTCTTTTATATGATTTTACAAAAATTAAAGTTAAAATATTAATTAATAATTTTTTGATGTACATAAATTGGTATCTTTTTATGGAGAATGCTGAGTGATTGATTAATGCCTAGAAAATATATGATTTTATTTAGAAAAAAGGATAATCTTAAGATCTCAGAAACGCTTTCACATAGATAAATCTGTTTCTCTCGATACAGAGCAAGTTTTATTTCAAACATTTTTTAAAAATAATGAATAGTTGTGGAGATAATTGCATGGAAGAATTAAAATGAGACATTCTGTATAGTTTAGATAAGCAATATTTTAATAATATAACGAATAATATTTAGCTTTAAAATCAAATATAGAAATGATTCTGTTATATACTCATATAACTTCATCAATTATTTTCGAGGCTTGCATTTTCAATAACTATACTTATTGCATTTTTGATAAATACTTATTAAAATATTTATTCTAACCATCGAATAAATGTTAACATAAAGAAAATCCACATAAATGGAGCAATCATATTTTCTTTTTCTGTGGTTTTCAGTTGTAATAATCATTCGTAGGTTATATGTATAACAATCGATCGGGAAAATCTCGATTTTATCGATAAAAAAATACACGAATAGTAGAAGAAAAGAATTCGAAAATAATAAATAGTGTCCTGTAATTGGTAGACGGAACGAATACGGCAACGCTGATTGGTCAAACGGTTATTAAGATTGGTTGAGATCGATCGTGCGCGCGTCGGTTACATCAGTTTCCGATGATGGAGCGTGCGTGTCGGTTACCGTCCGATTTTGAGATTACGCGTTTTGTTTACGCAGATTTGTTCGGTAGGGTAGAAGCAAATGCACGACGAGAGTGACGAGGAGGCGCGACGCGGTTAGGAAGGCCGGCTGTGTGACGGGCCGCGTGGTAGGAGGTTGCTGCGATTCAATTTCAGTCGAAGCGCGCCAGGCAGACCGAGCGCCAGCGAGAACCGGCTGCTCTGTTTTCTGTACCTCGTGCTTTGCTTTTTTTTCGAATACCGTCGAATCTTCCAGTGTACGCACGCATCATACTGTATCGCTTTTCGCTTCGTTCAATCATCGTGTACGATACGCATGCATGAGACTAGGACGCACGTACGTACGTAACCAGTATAAGGGAGATGTGGTAGTAAGCGTAAAGGTGTGTGTGCATGTGACTGAGAGCGGCCCCCCAGCATCGGAGCAAGTGTTTACGTCGTCGTGCATATAACCCAATGTGAGCGACCGTTGCTCCAAAGCCAGTATAAACCCTTGTGCGTTTTCGAACGTGTTCGAAAAAGTCGATACATCAATGACCCAGTTTTGTTTCGAAGGAATGTCGAGTGACGGGGTACGCGGGAGTGATCTTTGACATCGAATCATATCGAATCGTATCGAATCGAATCGAATCGTATTGTATCGTATCGCGTAGTTGATGGCGTCGAATCTGTGAAGTCTGTTGACAACTATTTCAACAGAACGTGTTCGTTCATTTTGCCGAATCAACAACACACTTGGAAAAAGTTTTCGAAAACAAACTGGCATATAGAGCGCCGACGATTGACTCGTTATTATCGGTGTGTCGCGAAAGGTGTATTTGTTGATGCTGAAAGAACGCTCGATAAGAACAAGTTTGGACATGAACAGTCGAATGATTCTTACGTATCATACGCGCAGTTCACGATCGTGTGTATAGTGGAGAGTTCTGACGATTCGCCGATAGACATTCGCCGCGTTACAAGCGTGTAATCCTTGTGCGACCACGTGACACACGGGATGCGACTGTTACCGACATGAGAAGACGGGGATAAGGAAGAAGGACGCACTTCTCTCTCAGAATGGAATTCGGAGGTTACAAAGGTACCGGTCCCCGTGTCAGGGTGCGACGACGCGCGGAATTAGGCAGACGGCTCACCAGGAGGCTATCTCTGGTCGCGAAAATGCCAGCTGCCATTCTTAGCAAAGCAAATCCACCTGAACCAAGGCCAGTCGAGATCACCGCCATCGCACCTGACAAGACACATCTCACTGTAAGTAAATTCTATTTTATTTATGATGAAATTTAATTATTATAAAATTTATTTATGATGAGATTTAATTATTATAAAATTTATTTATGATGAGATTTAATTATTATAAAATTTATTTATGATGAAATTTAATATAAAATTATAATTGAGTTTGTTAAAAGTCATATTGATCAACTCCAGTTTTTATGAAAACTCAAACTCAAACGAATGATTTTTTCTTACGAGTGTTAGTAGAACAATGTATGCACAACATTTTATATTTTATATCTCATGTCATTGAATTATATACGATCCACTTTGATTTATCTTCTTTCGTCTCTGCGGAAGTTTCATACTATTTTTCCAAAAAAATTTCTGGGATTTACTGATGAAATATTGTTCGTGGTGCATTTTTATGTCATTTATTGAGCCAAATTTTTTACTTCAGAGGTTCCATTTTATAAATGAAAGAAATAAATAATAAAATAATATAAAAATACATCTTTAACAATATTTCGCTAGCAAATTTTAGAAATTTTGCAAGTGGAGTTATGACGCTTCCAGAGAGACAGAGGAAGATAATAAATTCAATTCAATAATATAACGTAAAACATAAAATATCGGCCACACATTATTCATTAATAAAACGAAAGAAACCTAATATATTTGTCGTAAGAAGATGACATAAGAAATAGCAAAATCTTAAAGAATAATGCCTGTGACGTTGAATTTATGGAGTCGATCAATATCGGATTCTGAGCGACTCAATTAATCGTTGTAAGCAGTTCGATCGTTATAAGAAGGAGAAACAAAAAATATATTTCCTTTAAAGACGAATTATAATTGTTTTTTCTTAAATGAAATATACAAAATATATGGACAATCGCGTCATCTTAGATTCGTGTTTACGAATTCGTTTACTTGGTATTTGGCTTGCGGGTCACACGCGCCGATCCATTCCGTGCGATATTTTAGCAAAGAGTTCGTGAACGATCGGTTCGGTATCGCGTTGAGGCCCGATTGTTTGGAACTGTGTCGCGTATCTCCGTCGTAGCATCGTGGAAAAGCTCGAACCTATATTCGAGCGACGCGGATTCCGTGGTAGAAATCGAAACCCACCGCGTTAGCGTAGGGTTCGAACGATTAATGTACCAACATGTACACCGTGCACCGGCTACAAAGTGCCGTACATTCTATACAGGAGTAAGAGGCGTTACCTTCGGTATTTAAGCGGTCTATAGAAACGTTGCACGTCATTCTCCTCTCGCGTGTTCGTACACGTTTGCTTTTGCCTCTTTCTCTGTGTGTACATAGTCTTTCTATGACTTTTGTTATTATACATGTGTGATAGTCGGCGAGTAACGTTTATTACAGAGCCGCGCAGAGGTTTCGCTTAATTGTTTCCGATAGAATCAATAAATGTTTGGATTCTGGTTCGATCGTGTATTTACAATGTTCCGATTAGTAGAATGTATACATTGTGCAAAAGTAAGATGTGTTGTGTCGAATGGTTAGGCTTTTGCTTCGTTAGTTAACTACTGTTATTTCACAAAAAAAAAAAAAAAAAAAACGAGTGAAACAAGTGAAAAGATGAAAACCAAGTGAAATTTTACGATCATTTTACTACACAAATAAATTTTATAATCAAATTTAAGTTGTAGTTTATTTGTAAAATAAAATAGTTGTTTGTAAAATTTTACAAATAACAAATTTTACAGTTACATTAAATTTTACAAATTTGCGAATTTGAGTATCTTATTCGAACCAGAATTGTTAAATTATGCAAGGGAAGAATGTATAACATACATTCTATTGTGCTTGCCAATACATTAATATCATTAATTTATAAATTATTATGTAAAATTCAAAATATAAATTACGAATAAATTATGTATTATATATTTATATCTCATTCACACTCAATAAAAGTGCGAAAGGATTTTTCTTAGAAACACATCTTTCTCGATAACTGACCAGATAAAATCCCTCTCCGTAGCCAGAGTTAGCAAAGAATTACTATACAATTTTTGATTCACAACCGCTTTTTCCTTCGTTGTTTGATAGTCTCAAAGATGTAGCTCGTTACAAAGATCGAAATCTATACGCGCTTCTTCAAATAATCATTGTTCCCTCTTCTTCATTTTTTACCACGGGTACTCAATCGTATATGGGAAAAGAAATATTCTCAGCTTCCGAATGTAACGTTTAAATATACATACGTATAGCATATGGTTGTTCGCGCGTGCGTATGTCAGAGCTCACGAAAAGAAAAGTGAAGGCGTCATTATGTACATACGTATGCACGGTGGCGTTCCTTGAACCCCACCGACTTCTACACGTAATCGTCGTAAGAAAGAAAGTGCGCAACGTGATATCGATAGCAGTACTTTCTACAGGCGAACAAAATGCACTTTGTCCTCGTTCGAACTTTTACAAATGGTTCACGTTCGCGATCTATCGATCTCACAACTGACCTGTTTGATATAATGCGTGAATATAACCGAGTATCGCCGATTTCATCTTTCGCTGCGATTATTTACATTATTACATTTCTTTTTCTAAAGAATATAGATCAGATTTAATTTCGCTAAATATTTAATAAAAATTTTATCTAAAATATCTTTCTCATCTAATACATTTGTTTTCATTACCGTGTGTATCTATTTTGGATTAAAAAAATTAAACCTAGGCGGAACATTATTTTTTTGATTAAATATTGGAAGAATTTTGTACGTGTGCAGTGTGCATTTACAAATTTTTCCCTAAAAGTATAAAAATCCGTAATCCAGTTCTTAATTTATCTCATTTCTTCAATTTGAGATACATTTTTCGATTTAAATTTAAGTTATGAAATTGGAATAATTATTCTATTATTCTTGTCAATTTTTTTCAATTTCTTAGATAGTAATGCATTTTAGTAATCAAAAGTGAGACTAACAGCATCGTAGAATTTATGTTCTAATTTACTTTCAAATGAAAATTAGCTCTTCGTCACGGTTCCACAATCTCGTGATTTAATTAGACATAATTTTTCTGCGATATAATTACAAATACACTCGCAGCAATACGTGTAGTATAATAAACATTTTATTAAAGAGAATTAAAAAGCATTAAAGATGTTAAAATGTTCCTTTGTTTTGCTGGATAGAAAGAACAATGGAGAAGGGAACTGCCCTTCAATTTCAGATCTCAAATAATTTCTACAAACTTTTGCAATATATTTCTATACCGACGGCTAAGTTACATATTTCAAAGCGAAATGTAGCAAAAATTTTGAACGTCCATGTACTTTTGAACGCGGGTGTATCTATATCGTAGCTCCGACATATATTGCTCGCGACACGCATACTTCTGGAGTTCTAGCTACCGATTGCACACTAGATACCAATCGTTTAGACCGGAATGATAATTTTTCAATTTTTACGCGACAACGTACGTACGTACGTATGTATGTATGTACGTACGGCTGATTGCACAAAGCAATCGCACGTGGCCACGCGTAACACGTAGCCACGGTTGCATCGTGCGGATAACTGTTATTTCAAACGAGCTTTCGTGCCGTTTACCTATAAACAGAAAACCCTAATTAAATGCTAATGCGGCGTAGAGAAGTATTTTCGCCGTTTCGATCGAACAATCTCGTGTCTCGAGACGCGTTTCTCGGGATTTACGATCTAATTGCCGGATAATTTGTAGCCCCGATTCTTACCGAATGAATAACCCCTTTCCGTTGTCTCGTTAAACCACCGATATAACATTCCTCCCCTTCAATTCACCTTTCCTACTATATTTATTACGAATTTTCTTCTTTTTCGTTTTCTCACTGTCGTCGAAAGATTTACACGTCGTTACCGAACGAACGTTGCAATTATATCGTCCGCAGCGTTTTACGATACTGCGGCTGGCTCGGTTGTTTCATCTCAATGGTCATCGCATTATATAAGATCGCGGTTACAAGCGATTGTGTCTGTATATGTGTATCTATAGGTTAGAAAATCTTTCGAAGGAAAACGCTTGGTTGACTCGTTTCGCCGGCGACAGTAAAATCGTACAGAACCGCCGATAAATTTCGCTCCGTTTTTTCTGCTCGTTCGCGGTCTCCATCGTATCTTGAAATATCGCCGCTTTGAACGCACCGTGCTCGCTGATTACTTTGGAAAATTGTGCGGTGATTTATTGTATGAATCAAACGAGACTGGGTATAATCGCTCTGGAAGCCAGACAGATTGAATCAACGTCATTTCCCATTATACAAATATAGATTTCACGCACCGCTTTCTCCGCGCAATTTCTTACGAATTACTTTGTCGAATTGGAAATAATTAACGGCCAAACATCCGGGGATTGGTGACTTTCCGTGACAGAAACTCTGTATCTGTTGTTTGAGAAAGATACAGTAGGATTGCATGTGAAGACGAGATTTGTGGAATTGTAAATTTTGATGGTTTCCAATACGTGATTCTTAATACTGTTAATTCCGGTTCATGATTCTTAAAACAGAGGGACGAAAGGGGCTTTGTGATTCATTCGTATTCTTCGTATTCGTCAAATTTAAGAAATGTTCGACTAACGAAGAAAACGCAATGATAAATCGATCCAGACCTAGTTATTTAATATACACAATAGAATTCACATAATGGTCCTCCGAAAACCTTCTTTGTACATATATTTACGAAATTGAAGATTCTCTATTATTTCATTCGATTATATTCGTTCATCTATCATCGAAAGAATGTAGCGCGATAAATTAACTTTCTATCTAAATTTTTAAAAGCTATATGTAAGCTTATCTTATTTATTTCCACCATTCCTTTTAAGAATATTTCATATACCCTTTCTTAGGCATCGGTAGAAAATAATTGGCTAGTACACTGAAGCAAAATCTTGAATCCCTCCATTTGAAAAACCTTCAACATTGATTATAATCCTGCTTCAATTAACATACTTCGCAAGATGAACCGGTCTATATATAAATATTCCTTACGACCAATAAAATGTACATTGCCATAAAATGTCTCGTG